ACTGCAATAAACTAACATCTGACTCTATTTCCGGATAACATAATATTAGTACGCTCGATCTGTATTGATTGATTTGTTTAACTAATAGTTTTTAATAATTAATAATGTCTGAATTGTAAAATGTATTGCTATCCTTCTCTAGGATTACGCGAGAATACTAGGAAATTCGGGGCGAACATCGCGGCACGTAGGCACATCGCATTACGGAATTTTCCATATAGAATTATACATTTATTCGAATGACTATAAAATAATACATTAATTTTGTTTTTAATTGTTCTAACTTAACTTGATTGTCTTTGTAAATTACATTATTCTTTCTAAATTGAAAATATAAAATAATTATTGAAAATAAAATAAATATATATGTACTGGTTACCGACCGCTGAACTGAATACATAAGGTAATTGGTATATAATGTACTGTCGGTAATAGTCTATTATCGTCGGTAACTAAACTATTTTCACAGTGGGTAATGAAATTGAACATAGTAATGCCACTTTTAAAAAAAAAACTCTTCCCGGGATGTTACACAAGGGTAAGTAAATTATTTCAAAATATACTGTTGCAGGAAAGTGTGTATAAATGAGTATATGGCAATTGCATTATTGTTTTCCTTTTTGAACATTTGTAAAATTTATTTTTTATAAGTGTGAATGTTAATCCCATTAATGTTATTAACATTTTAATGAAAATATTTAACTCTAATAAGCAGGAAGCACACATAAATCGAAACAAAGTTAAACTGGATCAAAACATAATAGATGCAATTCATATGTATAAAGAATGGGCATATACAGATATATAAATGCAGTAAGAGATTATATTTAATGACTGGACGTATGTCTAAATCTTGCCAATTTTTGCGAATTAAGAGGAAATAGAACAAGCTTTTCCTTAAGAACCTGCCAATATATTTTTGTTCCGTGTGAATCAGAAAATACTGTTTTGCTTCTTGATTCATGGAAAAGATATACCGAGAACAAGTTATGTCGATCCTAGGTCAAAAACAGTTAAAAATACCAAAAAATACCCTATTACCAAAAAATACCCTACCGTTTGTTCAACTATTTGACGTTGATAGGTTTCGAAGTTAAAAAAATTTTGTTCGAAAAGTTTCTAATCCTTTAGTTTTATTGAATTTAGATACAAGTTTACTCACAAAAGACAATGTAATACAAATTGATAAAGCTAAAGTTGAATGCTTGCTTCTGGAGATTATGCTATATAGTATGCACAATAATCAAATTCAATGAAGAAATTCATTATTAAAAGTCAAATAAATAAACGTATACCTCCGGCTAAAAGTTTCATTGGCCATAGAAACCTATGTTCCGTATTACGACGACTGGTACCGCGGCGGACTTATACCTGCCCGCTGGACCTTCCCTGGCTACCGACGGAACAATAAACATCTGATATTATCCAATTGTTAAAGACGT